GATTGTCAAAGACAGAATCAATCATTCAGCTTTGGAACGAGTGAATGCGCAGAAGAGCAGAACCACTAGCAGATAACTAAAACTCACACAGGGGCTTCTACAGCCAAGTCTTAGCAATATGCTTATTTTGTCAAAAAGTCACTGGCTGCTTGCATGAAGATGGGACTCTGTACTATGCATACTCTGTGTTACTAATGGAGAGTAATTGGAGAAACAAAAAGCCCGGTGCTATTTAACATTAGGAAAGGAGCTTGGCAGGGCTGCATTATGCAGTACACCTGTTTGGTATTCACTGTAAATGCCACTGTGCTCTGGCAGCACCACGGCTGGAATTTAAATGGAGAAAAACAGATGATGTAGTCTCAGGTGTGCCACTGATGATTTGCTTTAAGCATTTTCAGGCCTTAGCTTTCATTAAGTGGCTTAAGGTAAGAGTAGCTGAAGGCTAAAGTCATTAGAAAATTTGCTTAGAAGTCTCTCACCCTGGAAAATAATGATAGTTTGCAGCTTTAGAACAGCTTGCACTGAGGTTCACTGGTAATAACTGATATTGTAATAACTGATAATAGTCAGTAATATAAGACTCTTGGTACGTGTTTGAAGTCAGTATCAGTAATAGTGGTGAGAATTTTGTTTTGTTTCTGGTTCCTGAGGAGTGAAAGGACTCTCAGGCTCACTAAACAACTTAACAAAGGTTGTATCTGTAAAGAAGAAACAGAAGTGAGAGTTTTTGCACACAGCAAAAAAACCATTGGAATGGGAGGTGACAGCCACTGCAAATAGAGAAATTGAGCATGTGGGTTTTACTGTGCAGGGTGTTCAGGGGCCCTGCCACTAAAAAAAGTCTTAGTAGTGGTCCGTTTGTTTTGATAACTGACAGGTAATTAAACAAACAAGGGGAAGGTATTGAGCATGCAAGTCAGGCTTGAATAAACACTGACTAGTTCTGTTGTTAGATTATAAAGCTGGTATTATAAATAATAGATGGGAGACTTCTGAAATACACAGCTCTCATTAAATACCGAGACTGCTGCAGATTTTAAGACCTACTTCTAAAGGAAAGCACAGAATTGAGCTGAACTCTGAGCTATACTTAATGGTGTGTCAGTAGCTGGAGAGTTTCTGGAGAAGGTGTCTGGAGTACAAGGAAGCTGGAGTGGGGAAGAGCTGAGAGGTTAGTATACATAAAACGGACTTTCTACAGCAACAGGGATGCATCCATAAATGGTCGAAACAAGTTGTTTTTCTGTTCCAAGGTCCACACTAGCTACCAGTGTTTTTCCTATGAAACTGGGAGAAGCAAAATGGAATGTGCTCATCTAGCAGTCAGGAGTGTAATAACCCTACAACTACTCTACACTACCTTGTCATAAGGGTGAAATTGCTTTAAAAAAATTAAAAAAAATATACTATCAGCACTCTCACCTGTATAACATACCACTTGTCCCTTTGCATGCTCTCAGGGGTCTTCAGGAAAGTCTTGTGTAAAATGGGTAATAGTGGGACTGTTGGGTCGATTAGTTTCAAGTTGAGATGAAATGCTTTTGAATGCAACAATTTACACACACACACACACACACACGTATATAAACCATGGAGTGACATAACTTAAGTTGACAGTTTAAAACCAGAACATTTTGAAGATACTCACTTGTCTTTCGCTTCCTTTCCCTGCCAGCCAAGGCGTGAGGTGACTCTCCTACAGTAGCTTGTGACAGCTTTGTCAGGATAAAGGTGGCTGTGGCTTCCTTTGAGTTTTGCTGATGTCAGGATCGAGTCTCTGATCTCTGGTTTTAGCAGATAACTAAAAAGCAGCGCTTATTTCCAAATCTGTTTTAACATATTCTCTTTGTAACGCAAGATTTTATAGTTGCTTTTTAAAAACTCACTTCAGGTCACCTTTAAATGCCATCTTAATGATGTTAGAAAGCCAAGGCCTTTTATATTAGACTTCTGTTAAAAGTTTAATGTTCCTAATATAGACATTCATGGTTAGTCTTAAAAGCACGATTACGTGTTACTGAGTTTCACAGCTATATTTCTTTTATGTGTAACTTATTTTTATTGAAGTGGAAGTAAAACATCAGTGTTGTGCGTTCAAGCTATATGTTGCATGAAGTTGACTATTTTAACACAAAAAAACCCTCCAAGCTGTTTGATTTTCATCCTTTGAAGTCTTTAATACCTGCATAACAATGTTTTGCTCTCTTACCAGAGTTTTGAAGGTACCATTGTGTGGGAAAGCCAGGATCTTCAGGGCCTTGTTTCAAGAAACCTTCATAAAGTGATGGTGAATGATGGAGGGGGTGTTTTCAGAGTCATTACAGTGAGTCACCTCACCTTCCCTTCCACCATGTTTCTATTTTTCCTATAAGTCTTGGGTATTTAGCATTTTGTTTTTATGTATTTCATAGCAAATAGTTAATTCAGTTGTGTTTCTGCTGTTATCTCAGAGGGGAAGTTTGCTTTGCCTGGGAAAAGGACAAGGGCATGCAGAAAATGATGCTACTAAGTGGCATTTTCTTTTTATTTTGAAGGGAGTAAAGTTCACCTATTGTCTTTGTCAGGTGTGAAGCAGCATCAGTATATCGGAGATGGCAAAACGTGGCTCAAATATCCTGTGCTAAAATCCCAGTTGATGGGATTAAGCCTGTTTTTTGCTTTTTGGCAGTGTTTCTCTCTTCCTGTCAGAACGTTGCTTGCTTAAACATGCTGTGCTATTGTAATCTAGCCAGAATAACTTTACATTTTGCTCTCAACTTCAAACAAGTTTTATAAGAGTTTCAGTGATACCACTAGTTCTAGGTGAGACTTCAAAAAATGCCACAAAACGTTACAGCTAAATATCTTGGTCTTAGTCTTTCATTATGCAGGTACCTAAACCAGAACAGCTTTAAATTAATTTCATTCTCAGTTGCTGGAGAACTTCACACCTTAAAATCACAGGGGGAAGCACATCAGTCATGAGAGACGAACTAATTTATTTCTTTCCGTTAATCTGTCTCTAGCAGGCAGGGGAAGGGTCACTGCCACATGAACTCACAGAAGGCGTGGAGGGAATAGCAGGTGGTTTTATCTACACTATTCAAGGTAAGTCTGCAAAACATAGCATCACATTTGCTGTTATGATAAAACAGGAACTTTAAAGTTATATTTCAGAGGTAAAATTCATGCTATCTCTATGAACTTGATCAACTTAAGTTTTCCTTTAGTAGAAACAATTAATTTCTTTCTGTTTTTTTATGCCTAATGTCAATGTCCTGATACAGTTTCTTTGCTTGCTCTTTGTCAGCCGAATTGACTTGCATCCCTTTGTCTTTTTATTAACAGAAATACCGTTTTTATCTAGACTCTCTTCTCTGCCCTTGTTTTTTGTTATCCAAACCCAAGTTAAAAAATGTTGTGCAGTGTGGTCCTCAAGAAATCTTTCCTTGATAATTTTTATTTTTTCCAGTCTTGCTACTTTTAGAATGAGAAGTACTGTGTCATAATGTTTAATAATAACTAGTGAGAAACAGTGACTGCCTAACATTTTCTACCTCTGTCTTTGCTGGCTTACACCTGTTTCAGCAGAATGTTCACAAACCCTATAGGAGTCCTTTCTAATGTCTAAGATTTTGGCCATGTAGCACTAGAGTTGATGTATTTTTATCAGTCCATCATAGTCAACATAAGCAGTGACTTTCAGAGCATTATTCCTGTGTTTTTTGTAGTTAGCCCTGGCAGATATAAATTCGGCAGTCCTGTTGTCGTCTGTATAGGAGCCTAAACTTGAGGTGTGCTAAAGCCCTTCCATCCCATTTGTCAAAAAGTTCTTCAGTACCACAAGCAATCTCCTTACCAAGGAGTTCAGTATTCTTCCAACATCTTTTTAGCTTTTATCTACAGTTATGTGATGAAATCCAGCAGGGATTACCTACGCTACATCAAAGCAATGCCAGTTTGATTATATTTAGCATAGGATTTTTTTTTTTGTTTTGGGGTTTATTTTTTAATGCTAGATATAGCAATTACTCCTAAGCATATATAACAGTAGCCTTTTTACTGTACTGTTGAAAGTAATAGTGAAGTCCCGGACAGCTCTTTTAATACAAAGAACCTTAAAAAATTGAATACTTTTATTACTGAAAAGGAAGAGAATACTTTAACTTTTACTTTAAACTTTGTGTAATCTGTATGAGACCCTTTGCAAACGTGTATTTGTTGTTATGCAACTTCTAACATTTCATAATAATTTTTAAATTAATTGTAGGATTTTCATAACCCCATTGAGTTGAACACTTCTCCAGATTAATTTTGTCAGTATGTTGTGTATGATCCAAGTGAAATAGTATGTAGGTGTGCATCTTTGTTTAATGATGGGTGCTGCTTCTTTCAGAAGGTGATGCTCTTTTAAAGAGCCTCCATACCCGCCCAGAAAGGTTTACAAGTCACATAAAAAATCTTGAAAAAGAAGATGCTTTATTGAAGGAAGAAAGCAGTACCTATGACGATATTGTTTTTGTAGATGTTATTGACACTTACAGAAATGTTCCAGCTAAACTACTGAACTTCTACCGATGGTAAGTTCAAAAGAAAGCATTTTATCTTAGGAATGTTGCAAGATGATCCAGCATGTTACGTTATCTGACAGGTTCCACGAAATACATACCTTCTGTGATTTACTTCATTAAGCTGAATTTCTTTCTCTCAATTTTGGGGGCAAGTAGTTTATCTAGTGAATAAAATAACAGGATCTGTATTTCTTGAATACTGACCCTTGGTGCCTCAAATAAGCAGGAACTGGCAAGACAGGCCTCTGCTCTTAAGAGTCCAGGTGTGAAAATGTTTGTCTCCTTGTAATTTCTTTTAATTTGTTTCTGATTGAAAACTTGCAGCTTTAGTCTTCTAAAGGATGGCTTTTGGGCAGCTTGTAAACTTAGTGTTTCAGTTTGTGGCCGTTGACTCTTGTCCTGTCACTGGGCACCACTGAAAAGAGCCTGGCTCCGTCTCTTTACACCCTCCCTTTGTTGTCCGAAAAGAGGATTCGTGGCCCAGTGTGCAATGAGTCAATTCTCACACATTCAGGAGAGACGTTGATTATTTATTTCATTTCTGCAGAGATGGGTGCTAGGTGGTAGCTCCACAGAGCTTGCTTTACATGCCTTGGTGACCACACAGCAGCTTTTTATACGCTCAGAGCACTGGTCATCAGTTAGTTAGTTTGCAGTCACGCCTAATCACTACAGTGTCCTTTCTTTATATGATACGTACTCTGTAAGGAAGGGTCTTGACCTGGGCAAGGGTCCTTTGACCTGGGGGCATGATTCTTAGTATTATGAGGGTATTTCAGCTGAGGATACATGGATCTTGGGCTTTCTTGCCAATTTTCGGATGTTTTCAGAACATCTTGATTAGGTGTCCTCTTCAGGCCTGCTTATTCCAGGATGTCCTTGTTCCAAGAGTGCCAACAATACACTCTTCTGATTAAATGTTCCCGTTATTATTTAAAAAGTACATCTGGTATAAAAACTGTTAAATTTTTTAGCTATTCTTTAACACCTTCAGGTATTTATATACATTGATGAGCTCTCCACTCCAGGCTCAACAGTCCCAACTCTCTCAGCCTTTCCTCACAGGAGAGATGCTCTGGTCCCTTAATCATCTTGGTGGCCCTTTGCTGGACTCACCCCATGGAGTATGTCTGTGTCTCTCTTATGCTGAGGAGCCTAAGACTGCTCACTGTATTCCAGATGTGGCCTCACCAGTGCTGAGTAGAGGGGAAGGATAGGAAGTTTGTGTACAGAGGGGACAGAAGGTTGAGAGGAAGAATTTTCAGTGTATCACATTGTCTGTGGTGAATCTAATAAGTTGCTACCTCTAATTTACAATTCTTTCCATTACTGAGACAACTGTTTCAATTAACTGATGTTGCTGTGGAGTAAGAAATAGAGCTGAGAGTTTTAGTTGCTTGCAAGATTATGCACTTATTTAACAAATTTCATGGTTGTGAACGTAACTGAAAAACTGAACAATGCTTTCATTTCTAAAAAGGGAGTTTAAATGTCAAGACTTAGATCTTTGCAATCATTTCTTACAGGTTAGCAAATTTTTCAAAATTTAATAATAAAAGGCTTAGGGAAAATTCCTTTCTTGTTAAAAGAAATTACCCTGAAAAACAATGTTTGTTAATCAACAAAGGAATAATCTCTAAAATCTTAAGTTTCTTTGGTTTTTTTGGTTTTTTTTACAAGTGACAGATATTCAACTATTTCAGACAGATAAAGAGTACTTTTTTCATATTTGAAGGGTGCTTTACTGAGGAAGAGTAAGTACTGAGTTGTTTCCATGGATGTTGCTTACAACCTTCTGCAGCTGTATTGCCCTTGAACTGACTGTCTCATCCTGAAGAGTAGGCTACTGACATGTAGCCGCTAGCTTTTAACAGCTGTGCTGCCATCATCAGAAGGGTTTCATATCCTTCTGAGGTCAATTCTGTTTAAGATGGATTTCATTAGTAAATCCACCATCTGTCCTGGAGAACAAAGTATCAAGTTTGTTTTCTTCAGGTCATACACAAATCCATGTTGTAAAATCATCATAGGATGCAGCTGCACCTCCTTTCTGTAGGACAAGCAGTCAGCCTTGGTCAGTAGGGAAAACATTTGAAAGTCAAGGGTAGGAAAACCATTCCTTCCTTCTTCCACCCCCTGCTGCTTCCCAAAAAACCCTTGCGGAGTGTTCTGTTGTGTAACTGTAGTTTGTGGGCTGCAGCTCAGCATCTCATCACTTTTCTTTTTGGCTACAGGACAGTTGAATCAACGAGTTTTGATTTGTTGCTGAAGACAGACGATGACTGTTACATTGATTTGGAGGCTGTTTTTAACAGGATGATGCAGAAAAAATTGGACAGGCCAAACATTTGGTGGGGAAAGTGAGTTGTTTTTTTTTTTTTTAACTTGCCTTTAAGACATACCACATCTTTAGTGAACGGTTTACTGCTTCAAGTCTGTTTTCATGTGGGTTCCCCTTTTCCCCTTTATGGAAGCGGGACTTCTGTATATGTAGAACTTTGAATCTCAAAATACAGAAATCGCTATTTTATGCTAGCTTTCCAGAGTGTACAATGAGTTGAACTTGCTGAATACCTTACCTAGTTTTAAAGTGTGTTGTATATGTCTTTGTTGTGGTACTTAAATAAAAGTATTCCAGCAGTACAGTAAAGTTGAAATGCAAGTACATACTAGAATTGCAAATGTTACTTTTTTTTGAAACCACTGTTGATTTTTCTTGTGGGCTTAAGGTAATGCGGTAATCAGGAGAAACAGAATTGCCTTTATAATCTGCACTTCATTTTGAAGTCTGTGAATGACAGCCATTGCTACCCATTTTGCTGCCGTCTGCTCCTTGGCTAGTTTTCTGCTTACATGTTCAGCTTTGTGGGTAACCACTGAGTGCAGAAGACTCTTCTGAGTGGTTTTGGGGAATCCTTCCAAGCTCTCCTACCTTTCAACTCTGTGACATCTTGTATATTTACGCTTGAGCATTGGTGAAAGTGCAAATGAAATGCTGTTAGGCTTCTCTGAGAGCTGGTTCTGGTGTGTAGTGATCTTAACCTCCTGAGCAGCAGGTTAATATATCTGGCCTTTGGATGTGACTTTATTGATGGTCTCCCTCCCTTCTGCTCCTCAGAGCACATGTCGGAGAACTCAAACTTCATCTACACCTTATTAAGCTCTCTGAAGAAACTCTCAAGTTTCTTGTTTGTTGTCCAGTGTTCCTTATAATCTGTTGATACTTAATTAATTCCTGTATTCTTAGAGAAACTTATCAGTGTTCTTGTGAATTTTGAAACTATCAGCTTACTCTGGCAGAAACGAAGGATGAGATGTCAGTGAAACTGGGAAGGGAATGCTTTGGATTGAGCAGTACTTGGTATGCTGGCAGTTAATAGGCCTTTTCTGTCTCCCACTTCATATTGTGTGGTGAGTTTGTTCATTAATTTTAAATCACCACTTAAAAAGCTTATCTGGCACATCTAGAGCATTTCAGGACTGCAAGCTGGAAAACCAAATGGTTCCAATATCCTAGTTCAGAACTTTGGCTCATCTTGGAGACAACATACTTATCTTAAGTTACTGCTATTCTGTTCTTTTAAAACTGCAGTCAAACAATTAGTCACCCTCAGGCATGAGAAAGAAGTCTTTGATGGATCACTGATCATGTCTGCAAATGACCAAATTTATGATGGTGGGTAGAATGTACCAATCTATTTCTGAGGGAGGCTGAGTCTAGTATGAATGCGCTAAATGATTAGCAAAGCAGGTGCCTCTCAGTTTGGAGGGGGTTGCTGTGACTTGCTAGAGTGGAAGATGCTGAGTCTAAAGTGAATTCAGGTTATCATCAGATGCGACTTTTATCTGCTTGGTGCTTTAACATGTCAGCTTCAGCAGTGAATGTGTTGAGTCTGATAACAGATCTGCAACCGAACTGTTAATTCCTCCCTTTTGGGGCTGTTGTCTGAGGTGACAATTCTTAGTAGCTCACTAAAGCTTTTAGCCACTTGTGCTTGTGACCAAATTCAGCAACACTTGAACCTGTTTGCAGAAAGGGGGAGGACCCGCTGCACTTACACGGTTATGCCACTTAGCTGTGAGTGCATCAAGTGCTTGTAAGGTGAGTGTAACACCAGCCTGTTTCTGAACAGGAAAAGCAGGGCGTTCCTCACTGCCTGACACAGCACCTTAGCAGGTTAAAGCTAGCCGTGCCACATGGCTGGGGATGGGAGTCCGTGCACAGATGGTGCAGACAGCACTGCTGGCTTTCTGCAGGCCTCTAGTAGAAAGTACAATCTTCCCCAGAGAAGACGACTGCCAGGAAGGTTTTTTTGTAATTCAACGGTGGCAGCTTTTGTTGAACATCCACTGCTTTGAGATTCATTTGGAAAACACCTTAGAGAAGGTATATAAAAACCCCAGTACTTTGCCTTGCTTCCTGTTTTTTAAGCAGCCACTAGTTTTATCAGCAAAATGGGTTTTGTAGTGCCCCTGTAACTGCATGCCTGCCGGAGGAACCAACTTTGTGTTGCATTGACTAAAAAAAGGGGGTTGGAACACAATTAAGGACGCTTGCGCTTTTACCTGGATCAAGACGTGCTGAAGACCTGACCGTCAATGTTGTGTTTGTTTCTGTTCTGAGACCTTTCTCTTATTACCCAAGACTGAGACCAGTTACACCTTAAACTGTTGTGTTGGATTAGATGTGCACCCTAGAGAAATAAGGCTAGGAACTATAATTGGGATCACCTTCTACTTCTTCCTCTTAATATTGCTTATTATATGTTACTTCAGTTGTTAACAGTGTTCATAGGTTTCAGAGGGCTTTGTATCTCACCTCTAACATGGTCTTCAGTTTCAGACTAAATTGGGCAGTTGATCGAACTGGGAAATGGCAAGAGCTGGAGTACCCGAGTCCTGCGTATCCAGCCTTTGCTTGTGGGTCTGGCTACGTCATCTCCAAAGACATTGTTCAGTGGCTGGCAAGCAATTCTGAAAGATTAAAGACGTACCAGGTAGTAAAGTGTTGGTTCGGCTTTGCTATCTTGAACTGGCCTGGGGAGCAGCATGCATACTGGATGAGTTGGAAAGAACACTGCTGAAGTGCTAGTGTTGGGTTCCCCTGGGTGATGCTGGCTTTTTGCAGTGCTTTTGGTCACTATGCTTAGTGTCTGTTCTAGGTCAAAGCACAACTGTTTTGGACTAAGAACCTCTGGAGCTATAACCTTGCTTTTTGTACTGTTGTCTTTTGAGAACACTGTATTATCATGGGAATGCTGGGAGGATTCATTTAACACCTCTAAAATAGTCAGATACAGGTTTTTGTAGTTACCGTATTTTACTGCTGGGACATGACGGAACTTACTCTAGTTCACAAAGTCGTGCTTCATGTTTCCTGGTGCTAATATCTGGTTTTATTTTGATTTGTTGTCTCAGGGTGAAGATGTGAGTATGGGCATCTGGATGGCAGCTGTGGGACCCAAGCGCTATCAAGTAAGTCTGAAGAAATTCTCTGATCTTATGCTCCAAGTAGCATAAAATAGAGGAAATGCTTTTTCTTAAAAAAATAAAAAATTAAACCAGCCACTGGATGAAAATCCAGAAAACACTCGTTAAAATATATTTAAAAGAAAACCCACAAAAAAATCTCAAATCAACCCCCACCAGTAGCCCCCAACCCCACCCCCAAGTTCTCTGAGTAGGTCCATCTGGTCAGAGAGGGACATGTACCTCTGGCTGGTGACCTTTGTGTGCAGAGTTTGTTGCTAGGAACAATGAAAACCTGATTCTTGGAAGTAAAGATTGTTGAAGACTAAATTATTTGTAAGAAAAACTATTGGAATGGTTCTTTCTCTTAACAGGATAGTCTCTGGTTGTGTGAAAAGACATGCGAGAGTGGCATGCTGTCTTCCCCCCAGTATTCTCCACAGGAACTGAGAGCGCTCTGGAGATTAAAGGAAATGTGTGGAGATCCTTGTAGATGTGAGGAAAGATGACAGACTTGCCTTGGAAAACAGGGTAGCGTATAACATTCATGGAAAAGTGTACATTTGGATTAATTCTTGGAACAATAGGGAATATTAAGGTATCTTTTAATGTTGGGATTCAACTAAAGTATAACAATATTTGCACAACCCTTTTGATAATTACAAGTGGACTGATAGTATTAATTTTCTACAGTATAGATGTTGATCTGACAAAAAACAAAATGTTTAAGACAAAATTTCCCTTTATATAGAAGTCAGAGACCTACTTGTAATTAGTAAATGCACATACGAATGCCAACTAGCCTGTCTTTTGTAAATTAAAGTACTACTGCTGTAACTCAGTATAGAGCTGTACCAGGCTCCAGGGGAGAGCTGTGCTCAGCACCAGGGCATCTGGTAAGTCTTGCTGCAGCAGGTTCAGTGCTGTCCGAGGGGTTGCTCGCATCTGTGCAGGGGCTGGGACAGCTAGGGGTTAGGATTTACCTTTAGTTTGTTTATACCATTGTCATTTTAGATAAAAACAGTATCAAAGTTTGCTTATACCAAATCTTGAAGTACTGCAAACTTGGCCTGATTAGGTGGGATTTCTGATAGCTCAGTGTGTTATTAGATATGAATCTGAGGGTAGAGGAGCAAAAGTAAAATTAAGGTTGAGGAACAGCGCATTAAAGAATGTAAAATAAATAGCAATGCCTTGCAGCATGTCGAGGACTTATTTACTGTGGTATGTTAACACTGTAGGGTAGAATAAAGGTCTGTCAGATTTTGACCTTAGTCTAAGGCTGTGTAATACTTCTACAGTTACTGCTATTCTGCTTTTGTTTGCTTTAAGGTAGGTGAAAAAAAAACAGAAAAGAAAGTATCCTCTTTCAGCACAGCACTAATTTTGTCCTATTATAAACAAAGAGATTACAATTAAATCACATAGTTCAGGAAAACAAATTCTCACTGACGCAATGGGAAGGAAGTATAAAATCTTGGCAAAAGTTACCTTGAGTTTTATTTAATTGAAGCGTTTAAGCACTATTTGGTATCTCTCAAGTAAGACAATTTGGCCAAAAGCAAACGCTTTCACGGAGACTGATGATTAAGTGTAGGAGCTGGAAGTACTACGGTGCAGCCCTCTGGTGCCACCTATGAAGGTCACGTTCTCCCATAGGTCTGTTCAGTCACAGTCTGTCCATACTGTCTGCGGGCAGTCCCAGTGTTGGCTTGTCCCTTCTTACCACCGTACTAACACACAGTCTCCATTTTCTATTGAGTAAAACTGCAAAGGCTTTAAGTCATTGTCCAGTTCAACTTCTTTGCCTTCCAGCTAGAATAAGAAAGGAAAAAAACCTGGTCAGACTTACTTAAACTGAAATCTGTTCATGTAAACCAAATATAATGGATCAGGAAGCTGAGTCAGGCAGGATCTGCCATGTTACAGAAATGAAATTGCGTACTAAATTACAGCATGAAGACTGCCCTCCTTAAGTAAAATCCATTTCATTAGGTAGTATTTTAGAACATGCTATTGACCTTTCGCAGCATGCAGTATTTTAGTGTTGAATTACCCACTTTTAACTCACTTTAGAGCTTTCGTAGGACAGTTTCAATTCTGAGCCAGGAATTTTAAGTAGGCGATACAGCAGTCCTTTGACCCTCTGAATAGTCATAGACTCTAGCAAGGGGAAAGAAAGAAAGAAAAGTTATTAGAAAAATGCTGCTACCACTGAGCTGTAGCAAAGTACTGGTGTGTCAGCTATACTTGCTTACAGCAACAGTGAAAGGCTGTATTGCTGCTTCAGTTCTAACACTGCAATAATGTCTTTTGTACCTGAAACCATAACTGCTAATAGCAAATTGAAGACTGTTTAATCTCTGGGGGATAGGACAGGATACGCTACTACTGTTTAAGCGCTTTGATCCCATATGCCAAATTAAAGTCTTACGGCTTCATAATTTACCTTTTTTTGAGTTTGTATTTACTACCTGCTAAACTAAGTGACCTTTGGGACACAGACTAGTCAGGTTCTGACTACTTGCATCTGGCAGCTGTTCCTTGAGGTTTTCATTACCAGGAATTGGCTTTCCTGGCACAAATAAATGAATGTCACTGTGGAACTAGTGCCATTAGAAAGAGTATTACATTAATTAGTCCCAAAAAAATCGCCAGCAGAGTTGTAGAGTGGTTTATATTATGAAGTCAGTTACACAAAGGGATATTTTTTTGTAATGGATTTGAATGAGTAAATGTAGTTTGTTCCAGAGGTGATACCTGGGTTTGCAATAGATCTACTCAATATTTTGGTTGAACTTTCACTTCTTTTGAAGCTTTATCTAAAGGCACAGCAATAGTGAGTTATTCCTGTAATACCACACATTGTATTTAGACAAATATTTTTCTATCAAACATTTTTGTAAAAGCTGTATCTATCTGATTTTATGCAACTTGTGATAATAAATGTGATTTTTATTTTAGAATAAAGCTTGAGTATGTCTTTTCTCTCAGACTCCATTCTGACACATCTTTCCAAAACATCAGTTTGGTTTAGAACCGTGTCTTTTCATTCTAGTCGCACTACAGGCACTAAAACTTGAAAAGACAAGTTTGTTACTGGTCAGAATTAGATTTCTAACAATGTATCAGATACTAGATCTCAGTATTGAGAATTGCAGACTACGTAGTTGGCTCTTACAACTTCATGTTCTTGTTATCTTGTTAACACATCCACCAGATTTCATACCAGTTAATAACTAGCCTTTGATTGCCTCAGACAGATGAATCATGAAACCAGCAGTGGTCAATAAGACAAGCATCAACTTTCAATCTTCAAGCTGGACTGAAAGTAAGAATGGAGGTCAGGAAAATGATGACTTTTTCAAATAATTTCTACCTTTGTAATTTCTTTTAAATGCCGGAGTCTTCAGGGGAAAATCTTCAGGAGCTGACAAAGCCAGAGGCAGCTGCCATTCTTTAATACAGTTATTTTAAAAAAGGAGCTACAAATCAACTTCTTAAACACAAGCCAAGACTTCTTACCTGGTAGCTTTTTCTCTACTGGCTTCTGTTCAGGTTTCTCAGGACATTTAATTGTCAAAGCTTAAGGAAGAACAGTGAGGCATTAGTCAATGAATGTTAAGCCCTGTTCTTTCAGGAGCACAGAGTCTTTCTGATCTGTTTTTATTACAAATTGTTTCCCCTAGCTCAGCCTGATCTTCTAAAAAAATTAGGATAGAGCCTGTATCTGAGCAGCTAAGATAGCATTTAGTCTTTCTCTAAAACATTAGAAGTAATTTTATTCATCTGTGGTAAATTAGGGAAAATACTTTAAAAGTGACTCCCTAACACTTAACATGGGTTTTTTTGGTCAAAAGGACTATTTATCTAAAAATACTTGATTTCTAGTTAACTTTTTAAAACAACCTACAGTAGAATGGAAACTGCTTACTCCAGTATCTCAAAAGCACCATATAAACACATTTTAAGGAAGTTTTTAACCTAATTCTTTTACAGAGATTAAAACACTCATCCTTAGAAAATGTTTCTAGCACGTCTAGCCGACTTGATTCCTTGTGCTATTTAGTCTCCCACCTAAATGCATTAGGCTGTAATGCCTTAAAATACTATTTTGCCCATGGAGTAAAAAAGGTTCAGTTCTTCTATCAACTAGGAAACAAAGCTATGTGAATTTGTAAGTCTCGGATGTGACATAGTTTAAATACGTAGACAGCCCCAAATACCAAAGCTATCCCTATTTTCCTTGACTGTCCTAAAGTTAAGAAGCTATTGAAAAAAAAAAAAATAATAAAATCAGAAAACAGTGCAGCTATTGAGGTTGAAATCTCAAGTGTCTTCTGTAGAAAAGCCATTCACACTGTCAGAATGGAGCATTGATTGCCTCTATTCTCCCTGAAGTCTTAATTAAGAAAATTATTCTGCTTGGGTTGAGGGGGAAATGAGACCAAGTACACAGAAGCAGGTGTCTAGTCAAACTCATTGACACACACAGTTCAGAGAAGCAGAATTACAAGCTGGATTACAAGCGCTGTGATGTCTCCAAGGCTTTTGAGCCTTTTGTTCTCCGTACACACCTGGGAAACACTAAGCTCATAAAATAGCTTAAGCGCAGAAGGAAAAATTTTGGCCATTTTCTGGCCTCTTACTCAGAAGCTGATTTTTCAGAGTCAAAGGCTGTCGTCCCTTCAGCTCTCCTTCTTCCGGTGCACCATATTCTGTGTGAAGAAAAGCACATGGAGACAGGAACCTGTCAAGGCCTGGAACTCAGCAGCCTACCCAAGGGCACTGTGGTGCTGGATCAGGCACAAGCCTGCGGCCTCAGTTCCCTCAGCTGCTGGGATACTGAATAGAGCAATGGGCAGGCTCCTGCAAGGCTCAGTGCTGCAGCTGTGAGCCTTGATCAACCGCTGGAGCATTTCAGAGGGTGCACGGGCGCATGGGATTGAGTGGGGCAGGTGACAGGCACCTGGAGGGGCGCAGTGCTCTGCGGCTGCCCCACAGAAGCAAAAGCCATTGGCGCACCGGCCTGCCAAGGGGCTGGGCTTTCCTAAGGCAGCAGAAGCCCATGGAAAAAGCATCACAGGGAACGGAAACAAGAGTGACCGGAACAGTGCCACCACGCCAGAAGTGAGGAAATGCTATTTTTTATTGTACTTGTACTTACTAAGACAAAGCGACGGGTATCTGGGATGGGCAGCAAGAAATTCTTCACTTGGTTTGTTTTTCTCTGGATTCCAATTCCCACCAGCTGCTAACCAGTCGTTACCAAATATTTTGCGATAATCAAGCTCTGCTCCTTTTCTTTCAGTGGGAAGGATCTGTACTGACACAGGAATGGCACATCATATAATTATACACCTTTCCAGAGAAGAAAATCTAATTAATGACACTGACTCCTTGCTCTTAGTTAGGTGTTTGGTATGTTTTAATGGCACCAAGACTCTTCACAACCCCTACCCCCCCCATAGTGACTGATCCATAAAGGAATATCTAAGCAAGGATGTTACTGTAAATGATGATGCAAGGATGTTTTTTGTAGCTATGGAACAGATGCTGCTTCTGCTCTCTTTCATGATAAACATTTGCTGAAAGTTTGATTTGGTTTAGATAATGCTATTTTCCTATTACGGAAGGCAAATGCTTCTATTATTGTGACTGAAACAGATTCAGCTATGCTGATTTTTTTTTTTTTTGGACTGAGTATAGTTTTTGTTAACAGTCCTGCAGCTTCACCATGACTCGGGCACTTGCAAAACCCACCCTTCCTCCATCTTGTCCCATCCCCACCAAGGGCCCATTGACTAGGTGGTGGAACAGTCAGCACTTTTCCTGCACCCAGACAAACAGTAATCTTGAAAGAAACTGAAAACAATTCCTCAGGCAATGATTTAATGTTTTTCCCCAGACTCATGCAATTTGTTGAAATACCACGTACCTCAGACTTGTTCAAAACCTCCAATTGACTTATCTTGGCAATAATCAGCTGTCTCAGGGTCTCTGGGTTCTTCTCTGTGTCCATGAAGGGGTTATTGTGACACTGCAGTGACCGCAAACTTGGCAGTTTATCAAGCTCATTGATAGATGACCACTGAAATGGAAGGGAACAGTCATTTGAGGAAACATACTTCATTTCAGAACAATACATGGTAACATCATTGACTTTTCCTGTACAGTGACCGTGACTGAAGCTAATTCTTTTGCTCACCAGAAACCAAGTACTTTCATCCTATTCATTTAGCAAAGGGAAAAACTGTATTACATTTAATTAAGTAAAAAAAGAGGAACTACTCAGCATTTTAGATCATTAGAATTCTGCAAGAGGAATTCTGAGGTAGCAGAGGGATATGACTAGCTACCATAAACATGTTTAACTAACTGAGATGTTAAGAAATGTTTTTAAAGTTTTAAATTATGCCTCTGTGTTGATCAAAGTATTCAATAGTTACCTCAGGATCTTACACATACAACCAAAGAAATTTTAAAAAAGAATGCAAGTTACTTTTAAACAAAGATACATGTATTTACATAATTTACTATCACAATCTAACCTACCTGTGATATTTTATTGTCATTTATTGCAAGGCGTTTTAGTGAAGGAAACATTTTAGTCTTGCATCCTAGGAAAAAGAGTAAATTTACAAGACAACAGTGAAAACTTTAAATGAACAGAATTATAAAGCTATAAATAAATTACTTTTTTTACATACCAAATCCAGCATCAGGAAAGTGCATAGAAGATATTCCACTGTTTCTAAGTATTAGGTGTTCTAATCTGAAATTTAATAGATACAATTATTACTGTACATGGCACAGGAAGTTTTTTGCAAAGAAATACTACCTCAATTTTTTTTTTAAACAAAGATCTAATGAACTTTCAATATGATGCATCATCACTGACAAATGAACAGCAGCTTCACAGACAGTACCCAGACTTCAGCAGTGTTCAGGGAATAAATTTTTTGGGGAATAAGAGCAATAATTTCAAGCTTTCAAAATGGCTCCTGGATTGAAATGGTGTAATTTTCCAAATTTTTTTTTTTTTTTTTTTAAATAGCTTGTGGCTATCTAAAATCATGGCTGCTATTCTGGTGTACAGCATAAGATAATAATTCTGCAAATTAGCAAAACCATTGTATTAGTCCCACAATTCTCCGGTCACTGTAACTGAAGTGCTTAAGGAAGACATACACACCTACTTTCCCTGGATGGGAACCCCAAAGCAAGGGACCATAGCTCAAGCCTGTAACTACTGTAAAGACGCTGCTATTAAGAAAGTGCAAATGCACTTACCCAATGCAGTATGGGAATTATGCTGGGGTGTGTGTGTGTGTGTGTGTGTGTTGGTGGTGTTCTTTCGGTTTTTTTAAATTTTGAAGCATGTGTCTTTCAAAATCTTTAAGCTATCCCCCAAAAAGCACTGAAACTTCCAAGATGAGTAACATCAAAAGCAGATGACAGGGAAGAATTATCATCACACTTTTTTTACCTCCCTCCAACCCCTCTGTTTTGCTTTCTTTACAAAGGACAAATAAATAAGCAGGCACTGAGGGCTCATGGCAAGTGTCCGTCACCAATGGTCTTTAGTGAGTCAGCCTCAGGAGTGACAATCTTCAACAAACTGCCCAAGGGCTTTCTGCAGGCTGAAACAACCCCCAGGTGGCCACACAGCTCCTGATGAACCCGCGTCATACTGTCATCATCAGAAAACTCCTAAGAAACGACTTCGTAGCTTTGCCACTCCACACAAACTCTACAGTCCTGTCATCTTGGATAAAACCCCGTGCATACTAATACACAAAGAACTTCGTAATGTGATAAATCGCTTTCGTTTCACAAGTATATAATGAAAACCTAACAACATAGAGCTTAAGAATGTGTTACTAGACAACAAAACCAAGATTATGTTAAAATAGCTCAATTAAATAATTCAGTTACTCTCCTCAGGAGGGCAAGATGCCTCTATTTCAAGGTTCCATAAACATCAATACTATCATATTTCAGTTAACAAAGACTATGGAGATGAATACTCAGGACAAAGAATTTCCAGCAAATTTGTTTAACAGCTACCTGGGAAGATGTGCTATTAGATGCAGCTGATTTCCATCCAGCAACTGGTTGTCTGAAAGGTCTAACAACTTCAGGGTCTGCAGGACGTTCTCATCGGGCCTGCCGCATTGGGAAAAACCAAACACAAACGCAGAACGTTCATAGTTATTTGTTAATACAAACAGTAGCTTTCTAAGTATTTAACTGCATGCAAATAAATTGTGTACACTTATAAATGTTTTGAAGTACATCACGTGAAGTTTGCATCATTTATTTTACAATTATGTCGTGGTGATGCAAACATTACAGGACTGTAACTTTAACTGCTATATAACTTTGCTGTATGTCAATCACAAACTACTGCCTTATGTTACTCATCTTACCTTTCCAAAATTGTAATATTATTAGAAGTAAGGTACAATTCTTCAAGTGCTGGCCATCCTGGAGCACAAAGAAGAACCTAAGAGCAAAACTTCATTTAATATAAAAGAAGTTGGGAAAAATTATTTCAGAAATTATACTTTATACAGATTTCCTCAGAACATGTTCAGAACAAGCCATAGCTCCCCAGAACAGAGAAACAAGTATTACGGATTGCCTAGCCCTCCCTTTCTTCCAGCTGGCTCTTTCCTGTGCCTGGATCTACCAGCACAGATGACATCAGAGGGGTTCTGCGCAGTCACAGGACTAACGGTTCCAGCCCTGCGGCCAGTAGCTACCCTACCTCAGCCAGCACGATCTGGAAACTGAGTTTATTCTATGCAATAGGGTTGGTTCCCTATGATGAGGTGGCAAAATGGCACTATATACTTGACTTCTAATGGTTCTGGAACTTTTGCACATCTCATCAGGTCTGACAGACTTTTAAAATGTCTTAATTTATCAGAGCTTGAAGGCTTCTCTGTCATGGGACTGTGCCAGAGCATGCAACCGCTAAAAAGCAAGAATTGCATGAAGTCAGCACATGCCCTCCTGAAGTTTTCAAGTACTCTAAAGAAAACAAAGTAGTTCAGAAAGGCTACAAATTGAACAAAGATGCATTTGCTTTAAATATCATGTCCTGAAATTACTTAAAAATTATTATAATATTTATTTTTTACAAACATGTACAGCAGATAACACAACTTTTAAAAATAAGCTCTTATTACAAAGCTATAGAAATTGCTGGCATAAAACACAGTTTTGTATGCAATTGTGACAGTGTCAAAAATTTTGCAGTTTTAGCAAATGGAGTTCCATAAGCACCAAAACTGACAAGTTTTCTACAGATTTGTGACTCTGAGACGCAAATTGTTTTTTCACTGAGGTTTTTCTTGTGCATATTCTCCACAGTCAAATTAAGTGTGAGCTCATCCTGCTACTCCTTCCTTAGTTAGGAAATTAGAGGGGCTCTTTCCTCCACCTGCATTCCTATTTTCTTGGAACTTGCAGGCAATAAATTATTTTTAAGCACCCACTTCTTTTCAAAATGTGTTTGAAATTGGCTGGTGGATTCAAAGGTTTTGAGATGCAAGAACACAGACATACACACGCACAGCGTAATAACCTACAGCTTGTTTTTACAGGAGGTTACAAGGTTACAAAGCAGCGAAGTTCAGAGATCTGCACAATCAAATTCAATTAGTTAGCTAATTGCCCTATGAATGTCCTCTGTCCTAGACACCAAAAAGCCTCCTTTCATCAACTGTTCTTCATTGTCTCTGTAACAGCTGTACGAAGTTATACAGCTGGATGTATATACAACTCTCCCATTATAGATACACCATACAAAATTAAATCTGAAATCTGTTCAAGTGGTGGCATATGATTTGGGGCTCAACTGCTTCACACCCAAAAATATGAAGCATCACCCTGCTGCCGTATCTGCAACACATGTAAACTTATAAAAACTCAAGATACAACAACATCTTCTGCTCCAGAACATGTCAACAAGACAGACCCAAGCAGTTTATCTATTAGTAATGAGGAAGCACGAAAAGAAGCCTGCAGAGCGAAGAGAAATTAGGTGCATGTTCACTACAGAGAGCCTTTGGGGGATTCCCCTCCAAAAGCCCTGCGTTGTGATAGATGAAAAATAGAAAGACTGCACAAAATTGAAGTATCAGAAGACTTCTCAATAGACTGACCAAATGACTAGAAAATTGCCAAAACCTAATATCAGTCACATTGCCGAATTTTCAACTATTGCTGAAAACAGTTTCCATACAGAAGCACAAGCTCACAGCTCTGACACCAAATTAACTCTCAGAAAAGATGGGTGCTTGTTGCGGACAGCTGGTGGGGAAGTTGGGACGAATAGCCAGCAGAGAAGCCACTGCTGATCGAAAAAGAAAAACAGAAATCCAAGACCTATTGCCAAAGAAATAAAGACAACAAGAAACAATCGTCACCATGTAAGTCCATGACGTTCCTATATTTTTAGTCTCTTTATCACAGGAATCAAATAATATAAATGGGAAAGGCAATAAGAAGCTTAACAAGAATTACCAAAGCTATGAAACAATTATTAAATGAATTACTAAATGAAATTATCAGATAGCAAGATCAAAACCCAGACAGGGTATTTTTTCAAAAGATGCAGATAGCAAAATTTTCAAATGGCTTCTCAAGACAGTTAGACAAATCATGAAACAAAAAAATCCACAATGATTAATTAAATAGATACAAAGTCTCCAGCTCAGGAAGCCCCAGAATTCCAGGTTCCTTTGTAAGAAGCTCTGACCATATGCTTGCCCTTTGCCTAGAATTTTTCCCAACTACTTGCCACTGCCAGAAACATGATCATAGAATCATAGAATCGTCTAGGTTGGAAAAGACCTTTAAGATCATCAAGTCCAACCATTAACCTACCCCTGCCATCCCACCACTAAACCATGTCCCGAAGCACCTTGTCTACCTGTCTTTTAAATACCTCCAGGGACAGGGACACAACCACTTCCCTGAGCAGCCCATTCCAGCGCTTGACAACTCTTTCACTGAAAAAATTTTTCCTAATGTCCAATCTAAACCTGCCCTGGTGCAACCTGAGGCCATTTCCCCTCATCCTATCACCCGTTATCAGGGAGAAGAGACCAATACCCATGTCACTACAGCCTCCTTTCAGGTAGTTGTAGAAAATAGCAATCCTAAGTGAGGCCCTTTGAGCTCTCCTGGACTGCAGCAAGCTGTGACCAGCATCTGCCTCTGAGCAGGATGCCTCTCAGAGCTAGCAAACTCTTAAAGTTTGCTGAAATTGGAGGTCCATTGCTGAAGATCGACAGTGGAGCCTGGGCTGAAACCTTTCACTCCTTGAGGCTCAACCCTCACCTACTGAGAAATGCCAAGACATTTCATGTGGATATTTCACTGAACTCAAAGTGAATTGTTAACAGGAATACCTTTATACATATGTGTGTCTATATCTCCCCAGAGGTGATCCTGCACCTCTGCTCTAACCCCGATTTTTCTTTTACTCTGTATAATAGTAGATTATTTTATAGATCTAAGATCTTAGTTTGAAAGCAGAATGACAAATATAACATTATGATCTAAATGCTGAATAAGAAAAAATGTTTTTGGAGCCATAAATGTGAATTCATTACTCTCAAATACATTAATTTAATTTCTAAGTCAATGGTTTCAAACTGTAAGATATTCTACAGGACATCTTTCCCCTTTGAAGGTTATACGTTATGTTTTGAACAATCAATCATCACTTATACAATAATAAGCTCTTTTACTGATATATTAATAGAAATCTCAGCTGTATTTATGCATATAATACACTAACAAAAGAACTTTTTGGAAAATTGATGCTTGAGGGGGAGCTATGCGTAATTGCATAAGAGTTAAGCATGTCCCTCAACCGTGAAAAATATTTCAAAACAGAGGAACAAATGCAAAACCCCACACAAGTCTCTTCTTTTTAAAACTATCCCCATGCCATATATTCTTACATAAGGCAGTAAGTTATTTTGAAATGCTGCTTACCATTAAATTGTTTTCATTTTAATTAAAACACTTCTAGGATTTTCAGACTTTGCTTATATTCCCATTGACGATCACTGTATTTCTCTTTTGCCTGGATCATATTCATTATTATTTTCTATTAAAAAGTTGACTTTTCAAAGTAAATCCCCATATAGCTTAAGCAGTAACATTTTCAAGTGGCTTGTTCACAGAGTATTACTGTCAGGTAAGTCCCCCTTTTTTTCCCTTTTGTTTGGCTGCCCTGGAACACCACTTTTAAGCACAGGCTTATGTCTCCCTGCTTATAAGGGAATTAATCAAATTAATTTCGATTTTATAAAAAAGATTTCTGAACCAAAAATGTCTTTACCACCTATGATGAATCATCAGCTAGAGTAGAGTTGCAAAACCAGATGCAAAAGCTATGTAATTTTAAACTGCTCTGACTAACCTGGGGCTTCTCTCCGAAACATAGCTGCCACTGGAGAACTCTGATCTGCCTGAAGCAATGGCTCGGACCAGCTTTTCGGCCACCCTGCTGGCAGCTGCCAACATTTTTACCACCAGAACACACAGCTTTACTCCGATGAGCACTAAGATGACGTTTAAAATGTTTGTAGCCACTTAATTCTTCCATTCACTTCACCACTCATAGCGCTGCTGTTATGGATTATCAACTGTCCTAGCACAAACCCCACTGATGGTTTAAGAGCACAGTGAACGGACACTAAACAAAACTGTAGCAATGACCCTCCTCTAGCCCTGCTGCAGGAGTAGAGAATGAAGAAGCTTTCTACTTAACTCAAACCCCAATTTTGGTAAGTGCTCTATTACTGGACAGTGGCTGGCAGCAAAAACCTGAAAATTCAGGTAATTTCACAATGCGATACATACATAACCTGCCCCTGAGAAATCCAAATAATGGGCTCGAATTTACAAGCTATTTAAGCAATGTGGCACTACTGAGATGCGCTTCATAAGCCCCATTGGTGAAAAAAAGGCCCACTGCTAATATATTTGACAACAGGACTTCATTTTTAATAAAACATTATATTAGGGTAGAGTCATTTAAATGTTTGCATGTTTCAGTCCCTGAAACAAGTCAGAGCTTTGTTTATTTTGTGCTATATCTGTGCTGTGTATAACC